CATAAAGTAGAAATACAAATTCATAAGAATGATTCATGAACCAAATAGACACTTAAAATTGAATATTAAAAAAATAATTTTTTTATGCTATATCGCTTTTGAAATTAGTCATTAGCATATTAAATTCTCTTATTAAAGATACATAAAAAATTTCGCTGAGTCAATTTAATTACAGATTGCTATCATATTGATTAATTACTCGGTTACTGTGATTAAAATGAGATTACGAAAATTAATCCGGTTAATCGCGAACAAAGTACTTCCGATTCGTTTTATCTTCCATTATTAATTTTATATATTATATTTTTTATTGCACAACGAAAGAAAAGTCTTAAAATAAAAAATCTAAAAAATTCTTAAAATAAAATTTGCTTCATTTAGCGTGATTTAATTATATTTTTGTATATTCTGTCTCGTGTCACGAAGAAACAATAAAATACATAAACAATAACAAATATTATTTTTATATTTATTATTAGATGTGAAAAATGATTAGAATATGCACAACGACAATAAAATATGATGAACAAGATGGAATTTTTTAAGGTAATATAATCTTATAAGAGACAAAATAAATGTTCTTACAATATTTGATAGTTATTAGATATAATAAAATACATAAACAATAACAAATATTATTTTTATATTTATTATTAGATGTGAAAAATGATTAGAATATGCACAACGACAATAAAATATGATGAACAAGATGGAATTTTTTAAGGTAATATAATCTTATAAGAGACAAAATAAATGTTCTTACAATATTTGATAGTTATTAAATCTTGACCACTGGCAATGAATTGCAAAAGAAACATACGTGATAAGTTTAAGAAAGAAGTACGAAACACATTAAATTATGATCAATTAAAATTAATATCAATCAAAATTAATATTTGTCGCTAGTGGTGAAAATAAGCTTAAACGACTTGACTACGACGTAACTAGCAATTTTATTTGATTATTTCACGACGTTTCGACCATTTGGTTGTGGTCCTTTTCAAGTGAAATTTCTACAACATAATGTTACACAATATTTTTTAACATACGAAAACTCATTTAAGTGTTAAATTAATAAAATAAGTATAAATTTTATAAACATACCATCAATTAAACCGAGGTTAACATAACATCACACCGGTGTTATTTGAAATCGAAAGTTAAACGTTAAAAGAGGAACACGTCCCATCGTTATGATGTTAAAAGTTAAAATTAAAAGAGGAACACGTCCCATCGCTATGATGTTTCGTCAACGACTAAACTTGAAACGCGCCACTAAACAATCTTTATTATTTTGTCGTAAATGTTTGTCAAATTCTCGGTGTCTTTCTGTAGGTTAACTGTATTGTCATGCTTCTTTATGAAGAACATTTCAGCAATCTCTCTCTTTCTTACATGTTTCTCGTTATGTAAAATTGTCGGTGATTTCCAATCAAAGTTATGCCAATCAAATAAAATTGCTAGTTACGTCGTAGTCAAGTCGTTTAAAACATTAAATTATGCTTAAAGTAATGTGCTATGGAATTTCAAGGTAATAATGTTATAAGAGACAAAATAATAAATGTTCTTACGATATTTGATAGTTATTAAATCTTGACTACTGGCAATGAATTGCAAAAGAAACATACGTGATAAGTTTAATGAATTGCAAAAGAAACATACGTGATAAGTTTAAGAAAGAAGTACGAAACACTTTAAATCGTGCTTAACGTCACGTACTAAATCATTTAAGTTAATAATTATATGCAATTTTATGACAAGTTCGAATCTTTTCTTTTAACAGAATTTTTTAGGAAAAAAGTTGTGATTTGCTAAATTTTAAATATATTTTCTAAACGTTATGCATCTTTATAATTAATTTTTATATATATATTGCAAATTTAGTAAAGTGTTTATTTAAAAAATAAATTTTTATTATTTATTTTCTAAATATTATCTAATTTTGTATACTCCATTATCTATTTTTGTATGTTTAATTATTTATTATATCTATTTTTCTATTTATTATCTATATATTTTCTGTTATTTACTTTTTATTTATTTATCCATTTATCTATTTTTATACTCAATTTATATTTGTTTGTAAAAGTTGTTTTCAATATTTTTGATGAGAAAAACATCGATTTCAAATTGATAAAGAAATTTTGTCGAGCAAAATTTCGTGCAATGTCAGACATACACGCAATATACCATGAAACGATTTGCATTAAGTAATACTGACCCAAACATTATCTTAACGATATACACGACTTGAGGGTTCCAAGCTTATTTGCTGTTCGCATTTGAATATTTAATTTACATTTCGTTGATAGTTACATATATTATTATATACAACGGCAATAATATAATAATAGATATACTGAAAAGAGATATTTAGCTTATCGCTTATAATTAAAAATTGTATTAGATTTTATTATTTTATTATTTCATTATTAATATTGATTAAAATTTTAAAAATAAACAAAATTACATCTATACTATAATAAAAATGTTAATTGAATATTTATTGATACAGGCCTCATCAATTATTTATCTACTCTAATTAAATGCATTTTCTAAAAATTAATCTTTTCCTCTCTCTTAATAAATTTCAAGTTCAACGTGTAACATTTATAATATATACATATAAAACGGGGACTTATATATATTTACAATATAATACGGGGAGATATGTTTATGCACAAAGATTAAACACTTTTGTAGAAAATACTCACCTTCCAAAACCCATATGATGTCATTTTATGGGGATGCACTTAATCGCATCACGCTCAAAAATACGGAAATTTAAAAAAAAAAATTGTACTTAATCATATGATATAAAAAATCCATAATTATATGAACTGAAAGTATGACGTTTCGCAATGACGAGAACGAAGGTTGAGAGGCATCGTCGAAAATGCGGCGTTCTTTTCACCGTCTCTCTTACTTGACTTTTATTGTGTGAAAGTTGAATCAACAAATTGCACGAGATTTTATCGTATTATCATTGCACTGATTTAATCGTACTGATTCGTCGGAACTGATTAATCGCTGCTCTCACTCACTGAAGATATGCAAGCATTCTTATCGAATTAAACGATGCGAACAGTGTTTGCAGTTATCTAAATAAATTATAAACGCAAAAATCAAATTTAATAAAAAGCCATAATAACGAGTTAATTAAAAATAATATATTTAGAACAAATTTAATTAAATTACATTACAAAATCAAACGTTTTGAACTATACTTGGGCTTCTTCAGTATAATACAATATAAAAATAATATAATCATAAAGTCGATAATTATTAGGTCATCATAAAAACGCAAACGCTACAAAGAAATATAAAATACATAATTGCGAACGATAAGATGTTTGAGAGCGAATGTGAGCAACAAGAAGCCATATATTCATATAATAAAGCCATATATTCCATATAATAAAGAAAAAATTAAAAAGATAAGATAATGTCAAAATTTCATCTAAATGATTATCTGTATAATTTTATTTAGATAACAGCAAACACTGTTCGCATCGTTTAATTTGATAAGAAAATAATAAAAAATAGTATAATAATAATTCAATCGACCAACTCTGGCAAATAAGTAATTTTATTGAATTTTCACAATGTTTCGGCCGTGGGTTTCGGCCCTTATCAAGTGCTATGTTCTTAAAACAAAATAAATCACAACTTTTTTAAAAAACAAGAATTCAATCTTAGAATATGATATGATATAATAACATGATAGTATGAAAATGAAATAACTATGTTTTATTAAAATAATAAAAATATAGATAATAAAAATATATATGATCTATATCTGTGTGTGTAGCTTACAATTAGATAAAAAAAAGTATTAGCTTTACTAAATTATCTAGAATAATATTCAAAAAATTTGCTTTAGTTATATCCAGTTTGTGCATAGATGATTTAAAAATTAGCTAAATAAAATAAGATAAAAATATTTAAATATATCTAGATATCTATATATATATATATATATATATATATATATATATCATATGGCGATTTGTCTAGATAATTTCCAGATAATACACTAAAACAATTAGAGGAGCACTTAAATTTTCTTAAAAAATAGGCAAAATTCAATCAGCTGTTACTTCGTTAAAAATGAACGAAATTTAAATTTCGAAAAAGGAGTTTAAAGCTTGAAATCTCTACTTTCGAAAGCTCACTACTTTTTTAAGTTTCTGTTCGGTAATTTTTACATATATAGAAAACTACGAACTGGACAAAATTAGAAATTTTCTTCTAACTTGGCAGATCTGCTACGTATATAAAAAAATTTACGAAATTTACGAAATTTTTCAACTCTCTGGTGTAAAAACTTGAAATTTTCTTAATAAAATCGATATTTTAAAATATTTTTACAAATTTTTATTACTGAGTTATCGCCGACTGAATAAAAAATGAGCATATTGATTTTAATTGTTCATAACTCTGTTGTAAAAATAATCGTACCGCAATTTTAAAAAATTATTATTAAAACTAAAACTTTGTTCTATCAGAATAATTGCCAAAATTTTTGCAAAAACATATAGACAGATTACAAATAAATAAATATAATGTAAAAATTACCGACTTTTTCTTTTTTTATTTTGACTTAAAAACAATTGTACAGTACATAAAAAAATTTGTTTACGTTTTTTTCTGATTTTGAATTTGACTAAAAATCAACGAATGGTTGTAAGATTTTTTTTATGACCACTGCTTTTATGAAACAAGAAATCGTGGACATTAAAAATGTCCCACTCTGTAAATCAGTATTATAAAATATAATAAAATAATTATTAAATAAATTCCAATATATTATTATATTGTAAAATAATTATAAAGATATAATTAGAATTACAAATTGCAATAAATCATCTTTATACAAAGAATTCGTTTTTCCCGCCCAAAAAATAAAGTACCCTCCATATTATTGCTTTACTCTCTTCAAAGACGTCTTTTCTCTCTCTCTCTCTCCTCTCTCGACGAATAGTAAATAACATTCTTTCCTCCAAACACGTGTCTTGCGCATGACGACAAAAACAAAACTCGAAATTTTATAGATGAATAATACATTTCACTGTTTTCCTGTACTATAGAATCTAGAAAATTTCGGTGTACTATCCTAGAAGCAAAACTATACAATAATATATACGAAGGCGGTCATCAGTCGTCGCCGAGACTCGTCAGCGTTCACGTTTGTTCCTGCGGACAATTTTGTGTGACACAGAGAGAGGATCCGATCTTGCGCCGAGATGTCAAAAGATGTCAAGAAGACCAGCGATCAGAAAATGAAGCAGAAACGACGCGAAAAGGACCATGATAATAAAATACATTCCATGATCCTGAAGGCAAGGGAGGAACTGGTATGTCGAATATTTTTTCACCCACATATTTTCCTATAAAATCCACAAAATCGATTTTAATTTTATCCACAAGCATTTTTTATTTTTCGGGCTCGATATATTGATGTTATATAAATTCCAAGGAAAGGAGAATATTTGGGGAATATATCATTATTTTTATCTCTTTATCGTATCTCGCAAATTCGCGGCGTATTTCGATATATTTCGATATAGTACTGAAAACTATATGTTATTTGTATGATATACATGGGCGCCCGCAGGATTTTTTCCAGAAGGGGATATAATTAATTTTTTTTTATTTTTGTTTTTTTTAACTTTTTAAAATTTATTTTTTAGTTATTTTGTTTTATTTCCATTTTTTTTAATTAAATACACCAATAAATTTTGTTCAAAAGGAGAGGAAATGCTTAATTTTTTTACTGATTCCAAGGGGAGGGGGGGCAAATGCCCTCTCTGCCCTTCTTTGCGAATGCCCATGATAATATACGTTCATTCATATCGATTGTCGTATAAGTAATGCCAGTCACAATTTCCCTCTTTTCTCCTGTAGTAGTGCGTAATAGATCCGCGAAACGCGCTGTCAGCTGTCAGCTGTCACGCATCACGTGGTTCGGTCCTATCGAACGTGTGCACACGCGCGACACGTGAGACGTACGCGCTGTTATTATATCACAATTCTTCGCGATTTGCGAGATAATTAGATTATTGTGAAGATGTGTTATTTCGGCAAAATAGTTATCGCTAATTTAAAAAGCATCGAGTCGATATTGCGATATAAATACGCGATTATATTCCTCGCAACAGTATTAGGTTAGTTTCTTAGATTAGAACACACGTCTGTATGACAAAAATTATATTTTTTTTTTTTATATTTATTGCCAGCAAAAGTCTACGCTAGGACGTTTCTTGATATTATTTACTTATTTTTAAAAATAATCCTTTATATTAAATAATATTAACATATATATTATACAATTATACATCCCAGATAACGAACCTATGTCATTTTGATGTCAAATGATGTCATTAGACGTCATATTGATGTTTAATGACGTCAATTAGCTACTTAGAATTATATTATTGGAAAAATTTAACTGAAAAAATATTTACACAAAAATCTATATAAATAACTTATATATATATTTTAAATTATAATATTGCAGAGAAAGAGAGAAGAAAAATTAACAGCTTTTTGTAAAACTTAAATTAGTGTCTATACACAGACAATGAAATATAATTCACATGTAAAAATTACTTTTAACGATGATCTTTGTGCATAATTTAAATATACATGTATAGGAATTTCTTGCAGGACAATGTGAGGAAAAATAACAACGAAGATAGGTCAAGAAGACCAAGTCATGCAAAAATTTCCAACAGACTTCTGCCAAAACCTGTACATATAATTTTATAATAATTATAATACTGTATTGTATAATACTGTACTGTACTAATACTGTACATATAATTTTATAATAACTATATTTTAATATTTATTGCATCTGGATAAAGATTTTATATGATTTTTTCAGGCTCTCGGCATATATAGAAATGGTTCAAAGGGCAAAGACATCAAAAAAGGTATTTACATCTAAATTTGTTTTTTTTTTTTTTTTACAATATTAAAATAATATACAATGTTAATCATTTTAATATTTTATAACAGAATCATCAGAAAGTATGTTTGATAGAGCTCGGTTGGAAGCAGATGCATTAAAGCTTTTTAATGGTGACACTTCAGAATCCAAGTAAGTGCATTATGAATAGAAATATTCTAAAAGAATATTTTACAAGTAAATTGAATATATATTTTTACAGTTATAGAGAAGAGGATTTAACTCATAATGAAACTACTAATCAATCACCAAATAAAAGCTTTGTAAAAAATAGCTTAAACTGGACACAAAGCACTCTGGAGCAAAGTCCTATTTTGAGAGAGAAATGGAGGTACATTTATCGATTCAAATATTATTTATTAATTTTATAAAGCTATATATACCATTTTTCTATACAAACTTTTAAATATAGATGTAAAAGATTTTATAATGATTACATATTGATATTGTAACAGAAATCAGAAAACTTACCCTAAGAAAAGGCATTTTTTCAAAAACTATAATTCTGATGAAATTGAAAAACAAAATAATGAATCAAAATATGTTGCCCAAAAAGAAAACATATTTAAGCGAAAACTGTTCCAAAATGACAAGGAACAATCAAAAGATATCATTGCTACTCAGATGCAGTAAGTAAAGTCATAAATTATATTATTTCTGATTTGATTATTAAATCTGATAGTAGAAAAATTAGTTGTATATTTGATAATAAAATTATTATTTTGCAGAACATTCGATAATGATTTTATGAAAGAAAATCGAATAAATGAAAATAGAACACAACAGACACTTGAAGACAATAAAAATTCATCCAACAAATCGAAACTCTATGTAAAACTTTGTGGCATGACTTCTGCCACAAATTTTGAAGACTCCCGAAGTAATAAAAAAGGTATATTACATATAGAATAATTATTGTAACTCAATTATATACTTCATTAATTTTTATCATTCATTATTTAGGTCCTCTTACAACAATAATTACAAATTTACAACACATCTTCTCTCAGTCTCAACAACGTGGATGTAAAAAGTATAAACAACAATTGGAAGCTGTGGAATATCAAACATATAATAATTTAGATACTTCATTAGATTCAACTTCAGTCATCGAATATGAAGTTCCTAATAATAGTAAAAATAAGGAACATAATGCAGAAGATGGCAACATTTATTTGATGCAAAATGATAATGTAGCACATAATAGTTCTACATCCCTTGCATTGCAAAAAGCAGCAAATTTTTCTTTAGTGAATGAAGAGGATTCTATCCAGAAGGATTTCAATTATATTGCTCACTCGTCGAAAGATAAACGGCACAACAAGGATTATTTTGTTCTTGATCTTTCTAAAAATGCACAGAGTATCGATAACAGGAGACACGCAGAGACCTCAACTCATTCAAATGATTCCATGTTACTTGCTAACAAATATTCATCAGATGATTATGATTCCGAAGAAGAATTGACTAATATTTGGAAAAATACTTCTGCTGAAGTAACAAATACGTATAACAGGGAGAATGTTGAACAACCTGTCATTCATCAATATGATGAGAGGAATCGCTCTAAGAGAAATCATTCTGTGGAAAGAAGTGATAAAAACGTGTACGATGAGGCTTATATGGAAAGATATAATATATTTGGAATTGATATAAATAATAAATATCCAGCTAATGAAAGACGTACTTATGTTGATTCTTTTAGTCAACAACTTTTGCGCGAAAAAAGTAAACGAGAATTAGAAACTGTGAAATCATCTGATCTGTCTGTGGAATATCAAGCTCGCACATATTCAGATGCTTCAGATGCTTTGCTAATATCACCAAATTTAATGTCGACTTATAAAGTCAATAAAATTTCTAAATATAATGAAAATTTATTCAAGTTTCCTTCAAGAAAAGACGTATCTCAAAGGGAAGACACATACCTAGCACATTCGAGCAATTTTCCTACCCCTAGTATAATAAACAAACAATTTGTGAATACTCACGATCGAGTAGAATCATTCAAGCCGCAGATTGAATCAATAGCACATTCGAGCAATTTTCCTACCCCTAGTATAATAAACAAACAATTTGTGAATACTCACGATCGAGTAGAATCATTCAAGCCGCAGATTGAATCAATAGAATTAGAAGACTCACAAGAGTCATTGGTAAATCAGTTTGATATAAATATGCATCCCAACAAACTGAATGGGAGGAACAAATTGTATCCATTCCACAACTTGCAAACCTTGGAGACTTCATTGGATACAAATTTATTTATGGAACAACTGAAACAGGAACGCGTTAAACCACTTAAAAAGAGATTTTACTTAGACCCAAGTACCTCTGATAATTTCAATGTACAATCAATCCAATCATTGCCTCAACGGACCAGACAATATACATGCGAGAACGACGATAGAAAGCAAGAACTTTTTAAGAAGACTATTCGCAATCCGTACCAAAACATCTTGTTCAACAACTCAAGAGCGATAAATCATCCATCGTCAACATTGAACCTCAGTCAAACCGGCGCAAGACGTAGAGAATCTACGTACGAAGAAATATTTAATAAACCGGACATGGAATGCTCTAGGAATCAAACTAATTCCTATTATTGCCATAACCAGCCCATTCATTTTGATTCTGTCAAGTATCAACATAAATGTCACGTCTCGCAAGCGCGTCCATTTCATGAAGGAGCTCTGCAATCCGGAATCTTACAGGTCGAAGATTATAACAGCCACATAAACAACTACATTAATTTGTCCAATAATGTGCAAGGTATACCGTCATCATTACTGCAACAACAACATGCTACATACCTGAATGTACACGACGATCAGCATTGCGCTGCGCAAAACATCACTCAGCCTGTAAAATATTTCGCTGTAAGCAACAACTCCAACATCCAACGAATTCCCATTTATATAAGCGATAAAAGTATTATAGAAAATGCCCCAGTAGTACCTCTAGTAAAATCAAATGTTCAAAACACGGAAGAGGTCTATTTTCACAAGTGAATAATTTACAACACAGATAATACAATTGCAACTCCATTGATTACATTTAAGAATAACGATTAGTTTCTTATGAAGCTTTAAATTCTGTAATATTTAGTCCAGTAATTGATTTGCAATTTTTAATATAGTTAATACTTTTTGAAATTGTATAAGAATGTATGTTGCAATTTTAAGTTTATTGATAATGTATATAATTATACAAAGGAACAAAAGCTACTTTTCTTTTTTCAACAAATTGCAAAATATAAATCCTTGTAAGATACTACTACAACTAAGATAAAAATTATATCTAGAAAAGCTAAGAAAAAATACATACACTCTTATATATATAAAGAAATTTATAAAAATACATTTATAAAAATAGCATTTCTTTTCAAGATTTCTCTAATTATAGAGTAATTAGATTCATATATATATATATATATATATATAAAATTAAATTCATATATATATATATATATATTACTCTATAATTAGAAATCTTGAAAAGAAATGCTGTATTTTTGTAAATGTCTTTTGTAGATGAGAAATGATATTTGTTATAAAACAATGTATACAGGGTGTTCTATTTTAATCGATCATTTCCATAAATTTTTTCATTTTTGATTGTATAACAAAATATTTCATTAAGAATTTTTACATTAAAAATGTTTCAAACCATTTGGGGACAGAAGATGTCTCTACTGACTTTTTTCTTGAAAGCGTTCTTCAAGGTCATTTGAAAGTCATTTGTTTTTTAAATGGAATCACTATATTTTTTTTATATAAATCGATTCCTCGCAATTTTTGGCATAAAAAGTTATAAGAGAAAAAAGATCAAAACATGAATAGTTTATAAAATAAATACTTAAATTTAACAAAACTTTACCTAATCTATGAAAATCTCGTAAAATATTCATTTTTCGACGATCTTACCCAAATATTTTATGCATAAAATAATGAAAGGAATAAATTGGTATAAAAACGAAACACATAGTTATTTGTAAGAAAAAGTAAATTTATATATTTTTTCTTTAAAACAATTTCTCATTTTATGCATAAAAATATTGACATTTTTACAAAATATTTCATAGTTTATGTAAAATTATGTCAAATTTAAGTATAAAATATCTCGTAAACTATTCACTCTTACCCTTATAACTTTTTATGCCGAAAATTACGAGGAAACAGTTTATTTTAAAGAAATATGGTAGTTCCATTTTAAAAAACGTAAATGACTATCAAATAACTTTGAAGAACGTCTTTTAGAAAAAAGTCAATGGTGCTATCTTCTGTCCCCCTTCAAATCAAACAATTTTTGTTTGAAGCATTTTATTGTACAAAGAAAAATAAAAACGTTTATAGGGATAATTGATTAAAATGGAACACCTTATATATATATATATATATATAGAGAGAGAGAGAGAGAGAGAGATTATATATAGATGAATCAATTCTAACGTCGGATATCTTCTTAATGAATATTTGATTTGGTACGGAAAATGAAAATACACAAAACTACCTGTAATAGTTGGAACATATATGTATTATTTATGTTTACCGTTAAGTCATAATTCTTGGACATCAAATGTTTAACATAGGAGCAAATTCACTTTTCGTTTAATTTCACAGCAATATTGATACATATATTTGTGAATTTCTTGAGAATACGTGTGATAATAATAATAGCTCGTAAATAAATATTCGCAGAACGCAAATAAGTGTATACACGGCAGCAAATGGCTTTCTAATAAATTCCTAAATATTTCCTAACTCTCGGTTAAACTCTCCTCGGAGCAGAATTATTATTTTTTTTTCTTTTGTTTTTTGGTGAAGCGCAATTAGCAATTAATCTTCATAGGGTCTCTTTTTTTTCTATTTTGTCTTTTCTTCTTTTTTTTTTGTTGTTTTTATTTATTTTTGGTGAAAGCATTCACTTTGTCTTTTTTATATTCGCGGACATCATCTTTCCATAAATTCGAAATAAATTTAGTATTTATAGAGATATATTGTTCGATGACGAAAAAACATGGAGCGTGTGCACACAAGGCGAAGGAGACGTCTCTTCGTGATACCAGAAGACCGGAACGACATTGAGTGTTTTTTTTAATTATTATAGTTTGTTATTATACACTACTCCAAAAAAATAGAGAACATTTTTTCTATCCTAAATAATTCTGTTATTTTCAACCGCTGGAATTCGGCGAAAAATTATGGTAGACTAAAAAATAAAAACGCATTTTGAAGTTTAAAGTTTTAATGGTGGTTTTTACCAATTTTTTATCTTTTCGTTTTATTTAAAAAGGTTATTTTGTTCCTCAAAATTACGTACTTTTGACACTGTATCTCAATAAAATTTTTTTTCAAAAAATTCTGCTAAAGTTTTATAAATTACGAAACACTACTTTTTAAATTTTTCTACGATTCTTTTTTAATCGAGTTATATAATTTTGTAACTAAATCTGTATTTTTCAGAATAAAGAAAATAAAAAAGTTGTAAAATCACTAACAACGCGGTAAAGTTGACACTTTAAATTTCAAAATGCTTTATTAGTTTTTAATCTACGATAACTTGATCAAAAAAAATCGCAAGTTTTAAAAATAGCGTTTTATAACTAAAATGTAGTTTATGGAACATGAGTAGAATTTTTTAAAAGAAATTTTTTTACCGAGCTGCAAAGTGTCAAAAATATGTAATTTTAAAGAGCATAACCAAATATTTGTTTTTAGCACAAAACAAAAAAGTTAAAAAAAAATCACCGATAAAGTTAAAATTGCAAGCTTTCAAATGCTTTAATTTTTTATGTTCGATGATTTTTCGACAGTAACATCGTATCAAAAAAATATAGTTTTACTTTCAAAATTATATAACTCAGTCAAAAAAATCATAGGAAAATTTAAAAAAAATAGCGTTTTGTGAGCAAAATGCTAATTTAATTTGAGTAGAATTTTTCGAGAGAAATTTTTTACCAAGATTTAGAGTGTCAAAAATATGTAATAAAATTTTTTTCAACTACCGCGTTAAAGTTAAAAATTCAAGCTTTAAAATGCTTTTTTAATTTTTAATCTACGACAATTTTTTGCCAAGTTTCAGTGATTTGGAAAATGACATAATTTTTAGGACAGGAAAAGTATTCCTGATTTTTTTGTTTTTTTTTAGTAGTATATATACGTATGTATATATATTATATATATTATATAACGCGTCAACGTCGTTTACGGGAGCGATTTGATTAAAAAAAACACGAGTACAATTTTTTTTACAATCTTTATCTCTTCAGGAAGTACTCTAGGAGGAAATCTCTAGGTACACGTGCCCGTTCCTTGCCCACAGAAAAAAAAAGAAACAGGTTCATCATTCCTATATCGGTATTTCGGCACGAAAAAAGCCGCGTGTCTTACTCTTGGGAATGAAGTAAATAGTTCTCAGTCTTCAAAATTACTTTATTGTTATATACCAAAAATAAAGTCGTTAAAGAGTCGTTTAGCTTATACGATCTCGCGGAAATCGCTCATCAATATATATGAAATCGTAATACATCATCTCTGTATGTGTGTGTGTGTGTATGTGTGTGTATATGTATGTGTATGTCTGTCTGTGTGTGGTACTTTATATGTATATATATATATATTTTTTATATTAGCTGATATTATATAGAATGCTTATAGAACTGAAATTATATTTCAAGTATTCGGGTTTTTTCTTCTTTTTTTTTTAATACTCTTTTTCCTCATTCTCGCGCGCCTGTACACAGCGGCGTTAAAATGCCATAACTCTCTTACGAACTTTATATTTATAACATCCTAAAAGTTCGGACATCTTATAATTTGTACTTTATATGAGGATATTTTGGTTACGAGATATAGACCTTGCTAACCGATTTTTTTTCTTTTTTTTTAATGTAGTTAGAACCATGCCGTGTCCTCTCGGAGATTAAGTCGAGCGGCCATTTTCATTTCTGGGAAAGATAGAGAGAAAGGAATAGAAATAGAGGCACAGGGCAAGAGATAGAAAGGTAGAGAGAGGGAGAAAGAGAGAAGGAGAAATACAGAGCGAGATAGAAAAGGAGAGATAGAAATAGATAGATAGAAAGAGAGAGAGAGAGACGGTTCATCTTAACGTTCCCCTGAGTTTGATTTCAATATGAACGTCTCTATGCGCCAAACATAGAGAGAAAACAGTTTCCGGAAAATAGATTAATGTAGGAGAAAAAGATATCATCGATGAATATATGTATATAAAGAAGTAGACGTATCAGACTTGTGATTTTATGTACAGATTGGAGGTTTTTTTCATCATCAACAAAGAAGGAATTAGCGTCCTCTCGCCCATCGTAATATGGCGTCCGCTAATACGTCCAGATGCGCTTTCGTCTGAAACACATCGGAATGCGATTAATATATCATTTATCTAAATATTTATATAGAGTATATACACCGTTCGCTGGAAAAGAAAACCTAGGAGACTCTATATCTCAAGTATAGCGAACTGACGTCATTCTGTCGTTTATTGACGTCATTAAACGTCAAAATAACGTCATTCTTAATTGAATAACGTTTAATTAATTTTGACGTTTAATGGAGTCATTAAACATCAAAATAATGTCATTCTGTCGTCTGATGATGTCATTAAATGTCATTCTGACGTCTAATGACGTCATTAAACGTCAAAATGACGTCATTTCTAATTGAATAACATTTAATTAATTTTGACGTTTAATAAATGTCTACCCAAGTAGAACAAAAAATCAAAATAATATCATTTTGACGTCATATTGATCAAATTTAGAGTTCAAATTTGGTCAAGATGACGTCAAATTGACATTATTTTGACTTTTCTGTTCTACTTGGGTAATAACGTCATTAAATGTCAAAAATGATATTCTGACATCTAATAACGTCATTAAACGTCAAAATAATGGCATTCTGACGTCTGATGACGTCATTAAACGTCAAACTAATGGTATTCTGACGTCTGATGACGTCATTAAACGTCAAAATGGTGTCAATCTGACATTTAATGACGTCATTAAACGTCAAAATACGTTCGCATGCTATATCTGGGATGGATCATTATTATCCGCATAAACGATTCATACACACTATTCTTCCTACACGTTGTATATATATCTGTCACATGCAACTGTAATTAATTTTATAATTAATAATTGAGATATTTATTATATGATATATATATATATATATATATGTATATATATAATTATTAATTATTATTAAATTTATATATATAGGGTACCCTGCAACAATCTTGCAACAATTAAGTATCTCGAAAACAAAGATTTTTTTGAGAAAAATATTTCGAATAAAAGTTATAGAGCTTTCATTGTTAATTGGTGTAAAAATGCATAATTGTTTTTAAGAAAAAAATATGTTGCAAATTATGTACATTTTCTTAAAAATAACTATGCGTTTTTACACCAATTGATTTGTCTAATTATTTTATGCATAAAAGTATTAAAATAAGATTATCGAAAATAAAATATTTTGCAAGATATTTTTTATATTTTATGTCAAAAAATACTTCAAGTAAACTTCAAGCATTTTAATTCGAGAAATACTGAATTAAAATTTTACATGGCCTTAACATAATGCTATTTATAGTAACATTATTAGTATTGAATACGTCACTTAAAGTCCTACAACTTTTATTTGAAACATTTAATTTTTTCAAAAAGCCTTTGTTTTCGAGATATTTGACTTGCAGGATTTTTGGAACATCCTGTATATTAAATATATATAAAGCATTCAATGTTAAGTGAGCTATTTTTATTATTGCAAAAAAGCTTTTTCTTCATTTTTAACAGCTAAATTTTATTCTTATAGTATCTCTACACTAGAATTACAAACTGTTATTATCTTTTTTATTTAGAAATGACACCTTATTCTATCTCGATGTCAGATGTGCTCAATAATATGATGGAACTAAAATCGCACAAAATTGATCTATTATTTAGAATTTTGCATATCTGTAACTTCTATGTTTTAATGTAGGGATGAGGATAAAATTAAGCTGTTAAAAATAAAAAAGGTCGTTTTTTGCAATAAAAGCTCACTTGACGTGGAATATGCTTCATGTATATATATATATATATATATATATATATATATATATATATATATATATATATATATATATAATATATATATAAATATATATTTTTTTATATATAAATTTTTTATATATATTTTTAGGGAGATAAATGTAAAAAATATGTGTATATATTCAATTTCTCTAGATCTTTTGTCCCTGCTGCTGCTATTACATAATGATAACATTTCCTTATGACGTGGGCTGATGAAAGAGAATCTGATATTGTGTGAATTTACCGACTTACATTCTCGCGCTATTTCACGCGTACAAAATATACTATAGGAGCAGACAATGTGCAAATTATCAAAAAGATTGTGTTCCTTCGTCTCGTTTTCAAAGCTTCGGGAAATGCGAACTCTATATTTACGAGTTGGGAAAACTAGCTCTTGATATTACACCCACGGTCAGCACAAATACACGCCTCCATTTTCGTTTGAACTTTATAAGAAAAGTCACTTGAAAAGTTCAGCAAAGATTTACATAGAACCCCAGAATGCACATAGCTACGTGTTTTTTATCAATCAGCGTTTGAGAAATCTATAAATGGCATTTTCGCGCACGTAGAAAACAAAAATTCCTTCTCTAAATTTGTTTGAATGTTATCGAAAAACATGGTGCTCACACATATACAGTTGGTTAAATCATATTATCTTATATGCTTTGCTATATATTTATTTCTTTTGTTATTGTATTAATTTTATTTAGTTGACACAAAATTTTTTTCATATAATTTTATTCTTTTTTAAATATATACTTCACTTGCTCTTTTAGCGACATTTTACACCTTTTTGCATTTATCTTTCTCCTTTTAAAAATTTGAATATATAGCATATTTATATTTCATATTTTAAATAGTAGAATGTATAAAAGAGAGTAACTAAAACATGTGAAATACACATTTTTTGAAAAGATACATATTCCATTAACAATCGCGTTTTGTTTTATGCATGTGAAATAGTACAAAAGCAATGATGGACCGTATATTATTTATAAAATAATAGAGTCACAAAATTTAATTAGTAAATAAATATCTGAGAATTTACACATGTGCGCTCTAAAAACATATTTTAAGCATAATTATAAGTATAAATAATAAATTATATCGTACGAGATAGTGTTACATGTTTCAGAGAAAAAGTATCATTATATTTTAATCAAAATTTATTTTTATAAATTATACTTTGCGAAACATTTTAGACAACATAGACTAATTATCAATATGCGAGTTAACATATACTTTCAGACATAGATATTTTAATCTTTGATTTTTCAATATTTTGTTTTCAAATATTCATTTATTTGATTTATTATGCATCAATTCTAAAATTTAATGTATTGAGAAAGACTGTTGTACAGTCAAAACGTATACAATTGCAATAACTTGTTTAATGTGTTTCTATTCGTAATAATATAAATTATATTTGACATCCTAAATTAAGGTAGCTCGTTTTAGTTGGCTTTTTTTTATCGATTTGTTAAATAGACAGTGTTATATGTTTAGTTATAAATTTTTGGATGCTGAAAACGATACCGCAAATCAATTTTCACCACTATATCAAGTTTTCGAAATAACTGAGGTTTAACATATATGCAAAAAATGACTTTTTGCAATATTTGAGATTTTTTGTGAAAAAAATTAACGTTATCTGAAAGTTCTGATCAAATGTCATAATTGTACTGTTTATCCCCTATAAAATGCATTTTTTATTTTGATATCTTACTTTTTAGTTAGGAATGATTTAAATACAGAGTTTTGCTATAAAATAGCAAATATTCTTCTACCTATCATGATGAAGTTGTATAATTATATTCATAATTTGTAATTTAAAGCTATCTAGCTATCGATACACATACAGTAAACTTACTGTGATAGATTCCACTAAATGTATATTTACATATAGGATACCACATTTTAATTAAGACCAACCACCTTGAATTTTTCGAAACAAATACATTTTCGAACAAATATTTCAGACAAGAATTGTATGATCTCAAGAAGGACAAATAATGACAAATCAATTTTGAATCAAATAATTTTTTTCCAAAAATCTTTTTTCTTCAAAAGTATCTCTATATGAAAAGAAATTCACAATTTCAATCTTTCATAACTAAAAAATAAGATATCAAAAAAATTCATTTTATAGAGAATGAACAATTTATTTACAATATGATATTTGATCAGACTTTCCAAATAATGTTAATCTTTTTTACAAAAAATCTCAAATATCGGAAAAAAGCCATTAAATCTTCGATTACATTTTTAACATGCTAGTGAAATTTGGTTTGCGGCATCATTTTCAGAGCATCGAAAAATCCATAAGAAACACTTTGTTTGGTTTAAAATAATTTTTGGCTGTAATGTAATTTTTAAAAATTCAATAATTATAGAATTCTCTCGCATATATCCAACAGTATTGTGTTTAGATGATTTTAGAATTAGCTAGATAAAGATGAGATAAAAATATATAAATTTAGCTTAGATAAGATGAATAAGATAATTTTGTTTTAAATATATCTAGATAAAAGATAAAATTATATAGCGATTCATCTAGATAATTTTCTAGATAATAATTTTTAAGACTGCTTATGTAAACACAGTTATAAAAATGTAAATTATAAAAGGGATATAAAAATATTGTAAGTATATTCATATCTTTATTTATAAATGCTTATCGCTTAAGTTCTACTATTTAAGTATTTTTATGTGCTATCATTCTAAACCAAAATTATCTGAAAATTATTCTAGATAATTTAGTAAAGATAATACTTTTTTCATCTAAGATGCAACTATAGATAATACATATTTTTATTATCCATATAAAGATAAGATGATGCCAATAAAGTTTCATCTAGATAACCATCTATATAATTTTATTTATAGATAACAGTAAACACTGCGTATATCTATATCTGTAAATTATCATAATTGTACTCACAGTTTTGTAAAACATGCAAGCATGTCTATCCTCATCCTCGCCTGTGGGACAGTCTATAAAGCCGTCGCATAGGACGTGATCGTCGATGCAATGATATCTACCCATTCTATCCGCAGTCGGACAGGCGAATCTTTCCATTCCATCTTCGGAAACTGGACATTCTATAAATAAGAATCACAAATATTCTCCTCGAGTCCGTTTCTAGAATTAAGAATATAGAAGAAAGAAAACTATTATATGTATATGTAGATATAAATGTTAACCCTAAAGTGGTCGCTGTTATGTAAATGGGACGTTGTAGAGGTCGCGTGGATGACATCATTTGTCATCCATTTTTAAAAGATGAATTAAAATAATAAAGACATACATTATGGACAGTGTTGTGCTTAGATGATTTTAAAATTAGCTAGAAGATGAGATAAAAATATGTAAACTCATCTTGCAATTAAATAAGATAAAGATAATTTCGTTTTAAATATATCTATAGATAAAAGATAAAATTATGTAATGTAATTTACCTATATATAGACTTACAAATAATATTATTTTTAAGACCGCTTATGTAAATAGTTATAAAAAAATGTAAATTATAAAAGGAAATATAAAAATATATTCGTATTTTTATTTATAAGTTTTATCGTTTACTGCTTAAGTTTTACCGCTTGCATATTTTTATGTAATGTAAATTTTAATAATTGCAGAATTATTGATTAGATGTGAATAAACTATATAATGTCATCTATTTGTGAGACCACTTTAGGATACCTAATATTCTCCTCTCTTCCCTTCTTTTAGTTAAATTGAAAATTGCGCACAAAGATTGATCACAAAATAAGTCTTTAAATGCGACAGAGAAATTTTTCGATCGTGAGACAATTAAATCAGTGTAAATTTGATGTTAATTGTATCAACTACTGTACACACAATAATAATTTCTAATCTCACAATAATAATCTGTAATCTAATATCGCATTAATATCCAAGCATATACATTTTAATCTAAATATATACACACATTCCCAACTCGTGTGTGTTTAGTATTAAATTCAGTTGACGGATTCCTCTGTATTATTTGTTCGGTATGATAATGATGCATCTTACAAAAGCCTTGTGTACATGCTCAACGCACATTCAGAGCTAAATGTATATGCTTGAATTGGGTTACTCTATTTTTCTGTGTTATTTGCTTAATAAAAAAATTTTATTCGAAGGATAGGGTAAGTCTTAACCCTTCTTTCGATACATAATTTTTTCATCAATATATGGATACTTGGGTACAAATTATGTGTCTTTTACATAAAGTGTGTCCCATAGGAAATTGCTGAAACTAATCAGCTGTCATTTTTCAATGCATGCAGTTATTGAGAAAACGAAAATTGTGTTGGAAAGAGGAAAGTCTGCAGTTTTTAATGGATACAAATAAAATGTTTGTATACTAATGTGGGCATTTTTATAAACTCTCATAAGAGAGATAGAGAGATTTGTTTGACAAAAAGATTATCTGATCTCCGTGTTTTGTTTATTGACCTCGTATCAGGTATTATTTATTTTCGAGAGCGTTTTGAACGATCCTTTGTCTATCGGAGAAACCGAAAACACATCTCTGTTCGATACACGAAGGTAACGCTGATTGGTCCGATATTTCGGGTGGGAAGGTTTTTAACGCCGGGTATATATATATATATGCCGACTTTTGGGGATCGTCAGAAAGTGACAGAGAGTTTTCCCGGCTTGAACGTCTTAAATCAGATCTTCTCTTAAACATCTCTTTAACTCGGAACGGAGAGCGAGATTGGAACACCCAGCTCGGAAGGATCGGAATCGTTCACGGCACGACTTGAAGACGTATAAGTTTCGCAATAATAATATACATATACATGTTTAACGTTGGAATAAATATTCATATTTGATCTATCCTGACTATATAATACAATCTCCCGATCGAGAAGATTATCCTTTCTAAAGAGAAAAGAGAAATCCCATCCTCGTCGCCGACACTAATTTATTTTATTGAAAAAGTAATTAAAAAAGTGCTATGTAAGCTAATGATAAATATTTTCGAAGTGCACACCATTTGAATTTGTACTTTTGTTCTTTTACGAAAACTCGTAAAAACTGTTTAACATATAATTTGTAACGTTATTGACGATCCTTTTAATAGCTGCTAATAAATCTGGCACTGTTAAAAATATTTATCATCAGTTTATATGATTATTAGCACTTTTTTCATTACTTTTTATCAATAATAAAATAAACTGGTATACAAACATTTTACTGAAATCCATTATAACTACAGACTTTCCTCTTTCCAACACAAGTTTCATTTTCTCAATAACTGTATGCATTAAAAAATGACAGTTGATTAGTTTCAGCAATTTTCTATGAGATACCTTGTATTGTACTACGACAATTTTTTTATAGCAGTTGCATCGAACATTCTATCATTCCCGTTATATTTCAGGAAATTTCTGAATACAAAAACTTTATTACCCTTTGTATTTTATTTCGGGCGGACAAAAGTTCCAAGAATTAAATTTGCTCTGGATACCCGCGGATATACTCGTTCATTCAACAGAAGGATTAAGTAGTCTTAAGGAATAAATACAGAATGTTCCATTTTAACTTTTGTATTGACATTTCTATGTAAAAGACCAAGGCTTTCATCGAAAAATGTTTCATACAAAAGTTGCAAGATTTCGAAGGGAATGTCTTGTCGTAATAACTAGATAAAATTTTATTCCAGGTAAAGGCATTTTCTAGATTTCGGAGAGATCATCATTATTTTTTTAAACTACCATAATTTTCATATATAAATCGATTCCTCGTAATATTCGGGATAAAAAATTGTTAGAGTAAAATAATCGAAAAATGAATGAGATTTTTGAGATATTTTGTACTTTATTTTGATTTATGCTTTTCCTATTTTATTTTATACTTTATTTTAATAAAAAATATAAAATTTCTTGTAATATACTCATTTTTTATCATTTTATCTTAATTTTCTTTTTTCTTACCTTAATTGATATAAAAAAATATAATTATTTCTTAAGAAAGTATGCAGTTGCACATTACAAATTGCAAAATTGTTTCAATCACAAGAGTATATTTTTCTTACACAAATTAATTTATCTCATGATTCTATGCAGAAAATTATTAAAGTAAAATGATCGAAAAATCATTATATTACGAGATATTTCACATTTTTGTCAAAATGTCAGAATAAAGGATAAGATAAAACATTTTTCAACGAAAGCCTTGATTTTCGAGAAATTTCAATGCTAAAGTTTAAAATGACACTATATAATGTCAAATGCATGTATAAAAAGGAGAATATTCTTTTTGAAATAATTTGTACTAAGTGTAAACTGAGTTTTTGCGACTACATTTTGCAAAAAATGGACACTTAACATTTAATACATTGTGACCTATCCTTGCCACTTTATATATCATCGTGACCTAACACAGATCTCTCTCTTTATACAGAATAAAATAAAAATAACGCTTCAACACATACTTTATGTTTTACATTTTTATAATAATTTCCCCTGCTTTTTCAAAGTAAATCTACATACGGTTGCTCGAAAGAAGTTTCTCGACGAAATAAAAAAAGAAACAGCATTTTTTTCCGCATTCTGCGTGCTTCTCACGTTTTTAGATTTCTCAATGACGTCTAGACTTCGCCGAAGAGAGAACATTTTCTCACTATATAGAAAAGGATCCTATATCCCTCTGTTCTTCTCGTCGCGGGATTCGCCGTTCCTCTGTCCTTCTCTTGGATCAATAAATTTGGGAGGGACGCAAAACGGACGTACAGCGTTTCGTCACTTTTTCTTGATTTGCAAAAGCGCTTTGTCTATATTTCCGCACGCGGACGCTTTTCATTTGGATTTATAGACCTTTTTTGGGCCATTATAACTCATAACGCGTATATACACTCTTGCTCGGTTCATATTTCATTGGAAATTAAAATATCTTTTCCGCAAACGTAGATTTACGGGGTCTTTATGGGATTAATTTATATAGAATTTTTCAAAATATTGAGCGCCCTTAATACTTTAGATAAATATCATTATTAAATTTACCTTTGAAAATAATACATAAAGGGGATCTTTCTTACAATTAATCAATTTTTTGTTCAAATAATTTAAAACTGGATGAATTAAAGAGAAAAATTTGTTTGGTAATCTTGTAAATATTTCTTTAGTATTTGAAAAGTATTCTTTAAAGTCGCGAATTTCTCGTTTATTTGTTCTAATTCTCGAATGTGAGGAACAATTAAGATTCGAGGAAAAAAGCCTTTCATTCAGAATTAAGACCCCGTTAAGTAAAGTGCTTTCTATTCGGTGCTTTTGATCCAATTATCTCTTCAGCGTTTAATTAAATCACAGTAAACTATTGTAACGTTGAAAAATAGAAAGAAATGGAAGAAAAATAATTATAAAAATCCAATTTTTTTTTCTTTTCAATAGTTCTTCCATTTCACAAATTATCGAATTTCATACACAGATCCAACTTTTTCTACTCCATTTTAATCTAATCATTTTTTGCGCGTGAAAAGTGAGAAAAAAGTAATTTTTTTGAGCACAAAGTTTCGAAATGTATCATGCATGAAAAAAAGTCCGCATGTATCATTATCAGAGAAATTGGACATTTAAAAATATCGCGGTATTTGAAGCAGCTTAACGGATTGAGATATTCTTCAAACAAATTTATGAAAGCTTATATATATTAGATGGTTTAACTTTACCGTCTGATCTTTCGCAGACAGCCAATCTTTTATTCATGTGTTTGCTCACAATATTGATGCTTCAAAAATTCTATAACATTTTCACATAATACAAAGGAAGAGAGAGAAAAGACATATAAAAACAAATTCGTACAGATTAGTACTTACGTACAGTAGGAGAAAAAAATAAAATGTCGACACAAAATATAATATTTATAATATATCCAAAAAATAATATAATATAAAATATAATAGAGTAATATAATAAATAATATAATATAATAATAATATAATATAATATATAATATAATAATATACATGATAATAATATAATAATATAATAATATATAATATAATATAATATAATAATAAAAATATAAGAAAATATAATGTAAAATGTAATAAAACGATATAATAATATAACAAAATGAAAAAATAAAACAATATAATAAAAAAATCTAATAAATATAATAATTAACTAATATAAATGAGGTGACGTCGCTTACCGATTTGCGGCACGTCGTACTGTATGCTACCCCGGATGGACCTCAGCATGAGCTGCGAGGCGATGCTCGCGCCGGCCGAGGACACCGAGGACGCCTGAGCCTGGTGTCCCGGGACTCTCCTTGGGCGTCGATCGAACGACGTCCGACCGTGATCTGATTCCGCTTGCTACCGGGTAACTTGCCAGTCTCATATGCGAAGGCCCTCGGGATGAAGCCGCCGTTCGTGGGTAAGTTGAGGGTGGTACTAGTGGTGCCGGCCTCGGCCCCGCGCGCGAGATCAGTCTTCGTGCTCGTCGCAGTGTTGAATCTCTGCTCCGCGTAGAGATCGTCGTGATTGGATTGTCTGGGTTCGTGAAGGGCGTTGGCGGCGGCGGCGGCTGTTGCTGCTGCGACGGCGGCGGCGGCGGTCGTCTTTCTGCCGGTCTCCTGGTCGCACACCAGGATCGGCGGCAGAACGCTAAGTGGACCCCTTGGATGCCGGCAGCCTATGCGCCGCTTTTTCGCCCGCTGCCGGCCACCGCCGCCGATCAGCTGATGATGATTGCTACTCTCGTCGTGGGGAGGCAGATAGGGCTCGGTCGCGATCGCGGAATGGGACGACTGCGACGACTGCGTCGCCTGATGATGCTGAGACGTCGCGTATTCGGAGAGAACGTTGAGCACCGCGGGCGACAGGCTGAAGAACACGTTCTGGAGCTCCCGCGGTTCCTTCACCATGTCGTCGATCAGCATCCCAGCGGGCGACCACGGCGTTATCCGTGGCTCGTCGTTGAATACCAACCAGTTGGACAGATCGTCCCGCATGTGTCCCGGACTACCGTCGGTGGGATATATTCTGAGGTGCAACAGGTTGCCACCTACCGAGGAGCTCAGCTCGCTCTTCTTTCTGATGCCGCCGCTGCTTCCGTGACGATAGGTTTCGAGCCCGCCCTGGGCGCCCTGCACTTGTATGATTACAGGTCGATTGCCCACCGCCAGGTCCAGCCCCTGTCCCACGTACGTGAGAAGCCAGAACATGCAAATCGCCATTTTACAAATCATCAACGTCTTCGAGTTAACGTTCCGCTATCTATCCCTCTTTTTCTCTTTCCTTTTTTTGTTCTAAACTTCTATATCTCTATATATGTATCTACGTATGTATATATATATATATATATATATATATTTATTTATTTATATATATATATATATATCCCTCTCTTTCTCCTTTCTCTCTTTTGTTCACCACTTTTGTCACACCCGATTATACACGGTTGAACGTGGTGTTTTAATTGACCTACATGAACAGCGATAATTGATATGCTTTGTTTTTTGTCTTATTTTCTTCGCTCTCTTTAGCTGTTTTTACTACTCACTGCCAGTCTAAAGGCACGTCTGTAGCGATTCTGAGTTAGGCCGACTTTTCGTTTGAACTCGCGGTACACTGGGAAGCTAAGGATGGAGGATGTAGGTGTATCTGTCTATGTTTGTGTGACTGTGTGCGTGAGCGTGTGCATATGTGTGTGTGTGTGTGTGTGTGTGTGTGTGTGTGTGTGTGTGTGTGTGCGCGCGCGTGTGTGTGCGTGTGTGTGCGTGTGCGTGTGTGTGTGTGTGTGTGTGTGTGTGTGTGCGGTAAGGGTCGGGTGGGAGATTTGGGGCGGTCGATTGATACTGAGTGGGCGAAGAATGGGAAATCTCTTGAAGATAAACTTGATAAAAAATCACGAGCGGCGATTAACTTTGACACACACAGGCGACGCAGACTATCGCATAGAAAAACGCAAGTGGGTGCTACGCGTGCAACTGTATCGAGAGGGTGATCTCTCTCTGCCTTATTTTCCTTAGCATGTCCCAGATGGAGGGACCCCCACGATTTCTGCCAGGCCCCGGAAAGATTTCAGGTCTCTCTTTCTCTCTTTCTCTCTCTATCGAAGATAAATCGCCGACTCGAGCGCACGGTGTATCACGTTTGACATTTGATTGCGTTATGCTCCTCTATTCGACTCGCTCCTCTAATCGATACGCTTCACTTTCGGTAGTCCATGATAGTAGCCGCGACCTTGGCTTTCCCTTCGTGATAAACCTCACATCTGTCCTGTACTGACCGATCCTGAAATCAGGTCGTTAATAAGAGAATAACGTGCGATTATATATCTATATACGATCGCAGGTGCCAGGAACACAAAAAGTGGTTTTTCGTATTTTTTTTTGTTTTTGGTTTTTGTTTTCTCAGGATATAATTCAACAGAGAGTGCTGCGACGTGTGGAGGTGGTGGTTATCGGAGGTGCTCATCGTGCGTGCTCATAAATACGTATATATATAATAAGGTGCTCGAGAGGTGTTAAGAACATTTAGTGTCAAAACCAAATCATCGACGTGCCACCCAAACGCTCGCGATGCCGATAAAGCTACACCGTCTCTCTGGAAAGAGAGAGAAGAAAAACCCTCTTCCTCGGAGCGCGTTGTTTCCTTATCCGCTTACCTTGCCGCTCTCTTTGTCCATCTTTCTCTCTCTATCTCTCTATCTATCTATCTATCTATCTATCTATCTATCTATCTATCTATCTATCTATCTATCTATCTATCTATCTATCTATCTATCTATCTATCTATCTATCTATCTCCGCCCAACTCCTCTTTTCCATTTGTCCTCTTTCACGTACCTATCCGCCCTATCTCCTTTAGCTTACGTCGAACATACCCGGGTGTATGTACGTTTCTTAAACGAGGAAACCGGAGCTACGTCGCCGTCGCCAGCGAGGCGATTGCAATTACGATAATAGACATCCCGATGCGTCCATGTGTAAATAATCGCGCCCTATCGGTCCCAACTTTCGCCCTGGTGATCCTGATAAAGCTCGAACGCGCAAGCTTGGCCAAGTCGTTTGAACGAAACGTGCCGTTTTCGTTCCAAAAGATATTATCGCGTTGCAAAATTTGCATTTGCCAAAATCTCTCGGCGATCTTTATAAACTTTATTTGCATATACTATATATTAAGTGCTAAAACTCGTATTTACACATTTTTCGCGATATAATTAAATACTCGAAACTTTGCAAGACCTAGACCTAGACCGATAGAGTATAATCAGGCTGATCAGGTGTTTAGTAATAAAACAAATAATGCGGAAAAAATTTTGCAAAGCCAATCGCTCTCATATTTACATTAGTATTAATATGTCATTCCACATTTCAACATTTAATATTAATATATACCGATCGGGCCAAAATTTTAATAGAAGCTGTTGTCACTCAAAAACGTCCATATGCTGCAAACCAAAGCTCGCTAAAATCCTCCTGAGCTGAGAACGAGCGGTTTTAAAAATACGAAGAAGAAATTGTGAAAAACATAAGAGGGAATTAATAATTTCTTTCTCTCTCAAGTACGATTCAGGTGGCTTCAAGTTAGAACTGAAAAGTACGACGTAGTATAAAAAAAACTCGCGTCTCGAATCTTCCGCGACGAGCGGAAAAGATCGGTCATACCTGATCAGCCTCAGTTGAAGATACCGTGCTCGATGACCTGATACCGGATCGGTCGCGACGACAATGACGAGAGGATGACAGAGCAATAATGTGGACAGCGGCTAGAGTGTTGTGTGGTATGTAGGTCGGTCGTATATCAACAGGTGCCCCGAAAAACGTTCAAAAAGCAAAGGCTTGGCCGTATTGGCAGAGAGGCGGGTGCGCGTTTTATTGTCGGTGCGAGAAACGCGGAAAGTATATATAAAACAGGCGATTTGTACACACGAGCGAGTGAGATGTTGCGACAGAGGTTGGCGATGTGTTTACACAACACAAGAGAAGTGTTTTAGAACAAAGGCACAGAAGAAAAAAAGGTACACCGAGATATATATGCGTGTATGCGGTATAGTGAGAGTAGAGATGTCAGGGGCGCGAGAGACGGCCCCGGTGAAGTACAGATAGAAGATTTTATGCGCGCGCGGGAGGTTCATCGATAATACATAGGAGGTGCAGTGTAGTTTTAATGCGCGGGGCATTTTACTGTGGTAATACTTGCTTCTTGATCTCTGTGTGTGTGATCTCTTTTTCTCTCTCTTTCTCTATCTCTTTCTATCAGATATATATATATATATATATCTCTCTCTCTATTTCTCTGTCTATCTCGTCTGCCTCGTGTGCGCTTTTTCTTCCTTCCGCGTGAGAGCTTTTCCACCGATCTCGACCTTTCTTCCCTCCTCGTCGCGCCGATCCCGTTGATGTTCACCCTCTCTCTTTTTCCTCTCTGTATATCTCCGCTCTTCCTTCTTTATCCTCGTTTCTTATCGCGCGACTTTACTTTGCTCTTCCGACACTCTTCGGACACTCTTCTCGCACTGTCGAAGGAAGGAAGGAAGGAAGAAGGGAGGGAAGGATGGTGTCCTCTGCTGCGCTTTCCTCCTTCACCGCTCCGCCCTTCTTTTAGCGGACACCTGAATTTCTGGCTGACGTCCGGCGATGTTCTTCGTGCATCACGTTCGAATCCTCCTCTCTTCCTCGTCGACAATTGACGCGCGCCACGAAAAAAAAAGAGCCTCTATGTCTGTCCTGACGACGTAACGACACCCCGTACAATCATACCACGTACGACGTCGTCCGCTCGCACACGGGCCGTAATTCATTCACTGACATTCTCGCCGTTCTCTCTCTCATGCTCCGCTTCCGTATGGTCGCTCATATGGGCGTGTGATGCCGTGCGCGCGCCCGCGCACGCGAGCGTGACGTGCGTGCGCGCGTGTATTAGGTATGCGTGTCTGTCTGTCTGTGTCTCTGTGTACACCGAAAGCACACACGGTCCAAGTACGAGATCGCGATGACGATTGGGAGAAGTGATCACCGGGGTGAGAGAACACACTTCTTCAGGTTGTCCGCTACTGTCCGTTTCTCCCTCTGCTCGTTCCTCTCCTCCAGTCCCTAACTCCGGTCTTCCACAATATCCGCGCGGTTCTCCGGACTGTAATCGCGCGCGCGGCGGCGGCGGCGGCGATACTTCAAAGGTTAAAGGCTGTTTCCCGCGGTTGCCCGACTTGCCGTGCTGATGACGTCGCCGATCTCGACCGGCCGCGCCGGTGTTCCATTGAGCGACGAGAAACCTCTTCCCTCTCTCTCCTTTCTCCTTCTCTCTCTTTCTCTTTCTCCCTCGCTCCGTCTCCCAACACGATGCGTGCTCTTTCCTGACCTAGGCACCGCTGCTTCTCTCGTGGTTGCAAACGCCGTCTTCGTCTTTGTCGTCGTCGTCGTCGTCTTCGTCGTCTTCGTCGTCGTCGTCGTCGTCTTCGTCGTCGTCGTCGTCGTCGTCGTCGCCACCGTTGTCGTTCGTCGTCGTTCGTCAACGCGGACACCCGAGATACTCGCGATTACGTCGCCTTCTCTCCAGGGGGAGGGACTTTTTCGGACTGACAGGATGCGACGACGGACACGAATGAGACGGTGCGAGGAGAGGTTTGCGGCCGTGGATGTGGTTGCTTTGTTGGTCGAAGGTCGAGGGATGTGGAGGATCGAAGGGTTGGGAGAGACGGTGGGTTAGCTTCGGCGAGCGAGCTGCCTGGCGCCCTCACCAGAACTAACTCCCACGCTGCGCGGCGAGGACCGGCGCTTTTAATACAACGCGCATTCTCTCTCCCCGGCATCGCCAACCCTTCTCCACCCCACGAACGTGGAGACTCGGTAGCGACGGAGTAGCTCTCTCTCTTCCCGTCTCCCTTTCTCGTTCTCTCTCTCTCTGTCTATCCTTTGCCACCACCCCGGCCGACGCGCCCATGAACGGATTAAAGCTGCTGCAGAGCCCTAAGCAATCCCGGACATCATATATACGCTTGGCGATATTATATGACGTTTCACAGCGATACGGTCAAAGGTTGATATGTGGCACCATCGATAAAGTGCCACCGTCCGTCCGACAATTCACGTGCGCGACACATCAAACACGAGGGGCGATATTATACGTTATTGTATACATGAGACTCTTTTAAAGATTCAAGATTATACCCCAATACAAGCTCTCGAGAAAGACCCTAAAGGAGAATCGTGTTTCGGTGATCAAAGTTTGTCTCGTCCTGTCGTTTTCTTCCATTAAGCGCGTAGATCGCGAAATTAGGGTCTAGGATATCTCTCCGGTTCGACCTTCATATTATTAAACCCGGTGAAATCCCAA